CCAAGCAACATGTCTGTGGGTAAATCTGGCAACACTCAGACTGCGAGTTCTACACAAGTTTATGAGAGTAAGTTTGCTGAACTTGATAAAATGTATCAACATCTTTACCAACTTCAACAAAATACCACCGCCACTTTAAATCAAGTTTCTCACAGTGTAGCTGCCTTAGACAGCAAGATAATCAACTTAATTCCTGCCACTCCTGCTAACCCACCTTCTGTTCCCAGCCTGTCTCCAAGTTCTGTGTTGCCATTCAGAGAACCAGATCTGAGACCTTCTGAACATTTTGAAGGTAATATCAGTCAATGTGGGGGATTTTTGCTCCAATGCAACTTGGCCTTCGCTCGCTCCCCATCTCTGTTTACGAATGATTACACTAAAATAACTTACATTGTTTCAGCATTAAAGGGAAAAGCTCTCCGTTGGGCCCAAGCGTTTCTAACTGCCCATTCTCCTGATTCTCTAACTTCTCAAGCTTTCATTCAAGAATTCCAATGTGTATTCGACTACCCACTCCACCAGGAGGTGGCCGCAAAACAACTATTATCACTACGACAAGGAAGTAAGTCGGCAGCCGATCACTCTGTGGACTTTCGTATTGTGGCTGAGGAGGCTGGATGGGACAAACTAGCATTAAGAGGTACATATATTAATTCTTTAAATGAGAACATAAAGGACCAGCTTGCCTCCCGGGATGAACCCGGGAGCTTGGATAAATTAATCGCTCTCTCTATCCGCATCGACAACAGAATAAAGGAACGTAGAAAGGAAAGAAACTACGTTACCCATAATCCTCAGCATGTTTTTTCGGTCAACCGAGAATAACAACACCAGAACTTCCTCATCGCCCGAGTCTGAACCTGAACCGATGCAGGTGGGGAGGACCCGACTATCTCCTGAGGAAAGACAGAGACGATATGCCACGAAGGTCTGCATCTACTGCGGTAACAAGGGACACTTTGTCGCCACTTGTCCAGTACGGGGAAACGGACCGGCTCGGCAGTAAAACAGGGGACGCCGCCGAGTTCATCCCAAATCTCCCCTGCCTCGCTTCTGTCTGTACCTGCTACCATACTTCATGATAAAATTAAATTGCCCGTTTCTGCTCTTATCGATTCTGGTGCAGAACAAAGTCTGATCTCCACAGACATAGTGGAACAACTCCAACTCCCCACCATACCACTCACCTCCCTCATCTCGCTCCATCACAGGGCTAACTGGACAACATCTTGCCCAAATCACTCACAAGGTCTCGGATCTTCACATTGTTGTCTCTGGCAATCATCATGAGCTGGGTGAGTTTCTCTTCTTTGATTCACCCATATCTCAGTTAATTTTTGGGTATCCCTGGCTCACCAAACACAACCCCATTTTCAATTGGTCAGAACGTCGTTTAGAGAGTTGGAACAAGGATTGTTTAATGTCCTGTCTTAAAACAGCTGTCTCTACTCCCGTTAAAGGAAGGGAACCCCCCGATGATATCGATTTAACTAAGGTCCCCCCAGTTTACCATAGCCTGGCCCACGTTTTCAGTAAAAGTAAAGCCTTGACACTACCCCCGCACAGACCTTACGACTGTGCTATTGAACTCCTTCCTGATGCTACATTTCCATCCAGTCGGTTATATAACCTTTCAGGCCCCGAAAAGGAGTCTATGAAAGATTACATCGAAGACTCCTTAGCATCCGGCATAATCTGCCCCTCCACTTCCCCACTAGGGGCAGGTTTTTTTTTTTGTAGACATGAAAGATAAGACCCTCAGACCCTGTATTGATTATCGAGGATTAAATGCAATCACTGTAAAGAATAAATACCCCCTTCCACTAATTGATTCAGTTCACGATCAGCTCCATTCTGCAACCATATTCACCAAGCTAGACTTGCGCAATGCGTACCATTTGGTAAGAATAAAGGAGGGGGACGAATGGAAGACTGCTTTTAAGACCCCCCTTGTACACTTTGAATATTTGGTGATGCCTTTCGGACTCACAAATGCACCCGCTGTTTTCCAGGCTCTCATTAATGATGTCCTACAAGATTTTTTGGATGACTTTTTGTCTACTTAGATGATATTTTGATCTACTCCCATAATGAAAGAGTACATGTTAACCATGTTAAGGCTGTACTACAGCATTTGTATGAGAATCAACTATTTGTAAAAGCTGAAAAGTGTGATTTTCATGTAACCTCTGTCCCCTTCTTGGGTTTCATTTTGGAGAAGGGACAGTTTCGTGCAGACCCAGAGAAGGTCCGAGCTGTCACTGACTGATAAGTCCCTAAAGACAGCAAACAACTCCAGCGGTTCCTGGTCTTCGCCAACTTCTATAGACGGTTCATTCAAGATTACAGCCGGATTGCTGCTCCCCTCACTCAACTCACCTCCACATTAAAAACCTTTTGTTGGACTCCTGAGGCAGACACAGCGTTTGGTGAGTTGAAAGCTCATTTCTCCTCTGCTCCTATTTTGTGCCACCCTGACCCCAAGAGGCAATTTATTGTGGAGGTTGATGCCTCGGATCTCAGTGTTGGAGCAGTCCTGTCCCAACGTTCAGACGCAGACAACAAGGTCCATCCCTGTGCCTTTTTCTCTCGGCGACTCTCCCCAGCTGAAAAGAACTATGACGTGGGCAATCGTGAACTATTGGCTATCAAATTGGCTCTGGAAGAATGGAGACACTGGCTCGAGGGTTCCGACTGACCATAAAAATTTAGCCTACTTGCAGAACGCTAAGAGACTAAACCCCAGACAAGCCCGATGGTCCTTATTTTTTGCCAGATTCAATTTTTCCATAACATACATACCCGGTTCTAAAAACGTTAAACCCGATGCTCTCTCCAGACAGTTTTCACCCTCAGGTTCTCCCAAGACCAACTCAAGCATTCTCCCGTCCACTTGCTTCGTGGGGACCCTCACCTGGGATATCGAAAACACCATCAGATTGGCACAAACTTCTGAACCTGACCCTGGCTCTGAACCACCTGGAAGGAGGTTTATCCCCAAATCAGTTATTGGTAAGGTACTGGACTGGGTCCATAACCATCGCTTTACCTGCCATCCCGGAGTCACACGTATGATTGCCTTCTGTAAAAGACATTTCTGGTGGCCAACTCTGTATCCTGATATCACAGACTTTGTCTCTGCCTGTTCAACATGTGCGCGAAACAAGAATGGAAATCAACAGCCTGCCGGTCTCCTACAGCCTTTACCCATCCCAAGTCGTCCCTGGTCACACATCTCTCTGGACTTCGTCACTGGTCTCCCGCCCTCTGAAGGTAACACTGTCATTCTTACTATCATTGACAGATTTTACAAGTCTGCACACTTCGTCCCTCTACCCAAATTACCCACCGCTTTGGAGACCGCTCAGCTGATGGTCACCACGTTTTTTGCCTTCACAGCATCCCCCTGGACATCCTGTCGGACCGTGGACCCCAGTTCATTTCTCAGGTCTGGAAGGCATTCTGTACTACCCTCGGAGCTAAGGTTAGTCTCACTTCTGGTCATCACCCCCAGTCTAATGGTCAATCTGAAAGGTGTAACCAAGAACTTGAAACGTCATTACGCTGTGTCATCAATAACAATCCCACATTCTGGTGCAAACATTTACCTTGGGTCGAATATGCTCACAACTGTCACACCTCCTCTGCCACTGGTTTTTCTCCCTTTGAAATTTCGCTAGGCTACAACCCTCCCTTGTTCCCCAACGATGAACCTGAAGCCTTGGTCCCCTCTGTCCTATACCATCTCCGACGTTGTCGCAAGATATGGAACCAGACCAGAAGAGCCTTAATGCGCACCGCCCACCGGAACAAAAGGTTTCCCGACCAGCATCGTTTATCCGCACCCTCGTATCAAGTAGGGCAGAAGGTATGGCTCTCCACCAGAGATATTCAGTTAAAGGACTTTCCGAGGAAACTCTCCCCTAGGTTCATCGGGCCTTTTCCCGTGGAGAGAATCATAAATCCCTCTGCTGTGAGGCTCTGTCTGTCCTCCTCCATGAAGGTCCACCCGACCTTTCATGTGTCGCAGATCAAACCTGTGGGTGTCAGCTCCCTCAACCCTCCAACTGACCCCCCACCGCCCGCCCGGCTGGTTGACAACGACCCGGTTTACACCGTTAGGCGGATCCTGGAAGTTCGTCACCAAGGCCGTGGTTTCCGATACCTAGTGGACTGGGAGGGATACGGCCCGGAGGAGAGATCATGGATACCCAGGTCATATATTTTGGACCCTTCTCTCATAACCTCTTTTTACAGGGACCACCCTGAGAAGCGACTGAAATCGCCTGGAGGCTATGTTTAAGGAGGGGGTACTGAGGCACTTCAGCTGCTGCTGCTGCTGCTGCTGCTGTTTTTTTTCCCTGATTGGTTGGCAGCACTAATCATACTCACCTGCTACAGATGA